GTTTGCGAGATCTCGCAAAACTTTTGCGAGATCCCGAGTTTGGTTTGCGAGATCTCGCAAAAGTTTTGCGAGATCCCGAGTTAGTTTTGCGAGATCTCGCAAAACTTTTGCGAGATCTCGCAAAAGTCCATCTTAATTTTTTTTCTCCCATGTCCCCTGCGGGGCTCCGTAGCTTTTCTACTCTATCTGAGCACTCTACACAACTAAGTGCTTTCTATCTAAGATTCGCACAATCAACACGAGGTTAGTATCTTGCCCAAGAATAGACATGCAGGCTGGAGCAGACTGGGATTGACCCACCAACCTTCTAGTAGTAGGTGACCACCTGAGCTACAGCCACACCAAACACACTATAATAATCTCCATATTGCAAAAGATCACTACTGACAATTTCAGAATGGCAATTGAATCTTACAATATTGCAAAATAAAGAATGTAGAACATTTTTTAACACAAAATTCTTTGTAACAAAAAAGAAAAAAAATGTATGACTGAGTAGAATTTAAGAAAAGAAAAACATTTACTTAGCAGTACTTGTGTGAAAGAGTTACATACAGACTGAACTGAGTAGCTTGGATCTTACCAGGGATCTTCTTGGCCCAGCTGATCATGAGAACCAGTTCCTTGTCTGCCAGGTTGGTGAGGGTCATCATCATGCTGGTCTCAGTGAACGGCTTTTTCAGGTCCCCCATGAGGTAGATCTCTGGCGGCTCTGCCTCCATGATTCGGGAAATGAACTCCTCTGGGCTCATGGTTGAGTAGTGCGTGTGATTTGTGTGAGTGTGGACAGAGGTGTCCCCAGGTGTCCCCAGGTGAAGATGCCGTTGACCCCGAGGACCCAGTCCAACCCTTACCAAACTCTGACCTGTCGTATCCCGAGGCTGGGGTCCACCGCGACGGTGTCGGGCACCACGAAAGCCACAACGTTCACGCCTCACCCCTGGTGAATGAAGACAACAGACAATTGCCGAATTACCTGCAACTCCTTTACACTTCGTGTGAGAAAAAGCTCGTGCTTTATGCAATAGAAGGAAATATATGTTTTTAACAATCTAATAAGAACAAAAAAAACCTGGATCTATCTGAGCATTAGCAGACACTACGACCAGTCTACTGATAAGAAGAGCAAAGGCATTTATAAACACAATGCTTCATATGTCAAAGAGCAATCCCAGCTGCAGTTTAACACACCAAGGTTAGCCCAGAATCACAGAGCAGGCAACAGAATGGAATGTGCTGATCATAAGAAACACTAAAGGCCCAAAGAAACACTGTTACCTATTTACATGTGTCATAATTAAAAGTATTTAGATGATTCTTACAGTCAGTGGAAGGAAGACTTGTCCTGAGTGCTTTTCAAGAAAGCTCAAAAGGTCTAATGACCTATTAACTGACTCAATTTAAGACATGAAATCACGAAATATCCCAATTCTAATGAAGATGAGTAAAAACCCACCGCACTTCATCATGCCCACTTCATAGCATTTACGTAGCCGGCAGGCTTGGCAGCTTTTACGTCTGTTCTTGTCAATAGTGCACTGATTTGTGGCAGGGCAAATGTAATCATTGTGTCCTAATAAAAGAAGAAAACACAGACACAGTAATGGATAATTTCAGCTGATGAGAAGAAAAATTGTGAGTAAATATAAAGTAAAAAGGTCATACCTTGGATGCTTCTCTTGAAAAAAGCCTTGCAGCCCTCGCAGGACCACACACCGTAGTGATAGCCGGAGGCGTAGTCGTGGCACACGGCGCAGAAGTGCATGTCGGCTTTCCCTAGAGCAGATGAGCAGGATGAGGATTTCACTCCTTCCGCTCCTTCTTCAGATTTCTTTCCCAGCAGCTTGTTACAGCTGATGATGGAGCTGCAGAGGGGAAAGCGAAGAATCGTTGAAAGGGACAGCTTGACATTAGAAATTTTAGCCCATCATTCACCTGTCATTAGCTGTCCAACAGGTACTGTGTTGCTGAAAATGTCTCCATAACAGCATTTAAGTCAACTGGAAAAATCGCATCACAGATAGTATTTATCGCTGCAACACGATGAGTGCCATCATAACCATTAACTGCTCACATTAATCACCAAATATAGAGGAGAACTGAAGATACAAAAGAAACAGAAATTAATTTTATAATTAATAAAAAAATATTGCTATCATCTTTTAGATCAATTGCTATTTTAAACACTGGTATCAGAATTTACTGGAATACTAACATACAATGAATTACTACACAACCGAGTGTAACATATTCCGCACATTTGTAACAGCCACCCTTCTGTGCAGACAGGAAGGGACGACGACCCACAGGAGCTCGTTTTTCTGTTCTTATTTGGTGTCCATAGCAGTCTAACTGCCTGTGGTTACAAGAGCAATGAACTTTGGTTACATACAGCACAATTATGATCTGTGAAATCTTTCTTTTTTATGGTAGCACTAGATTAGTCACGTTTTGGGTTCCCCCTTTTCGAGGGCTGTACAACAAAGGAGGTTAAATTAGTTCCCGAGTTATGTTAAGCTTAAATTCAGATTTGTCACCGTCACAGAGGTGGCTCGCTTTTAGTAACTAAAAGCGAGTAACTTGGCCAAAAACATTACCTGATCTGGAGAAGAGATTAGAGATCTGATTCAAAATCAGCTATAAGTTGTGTGATGCAGAAAATGTGAAAAGTATTGCCACGTTTTTGGATATTTGTCACACTTGCATGTTTCACATTATTCAGTTATCTTTGTCTAATATTAGACAAATATAAGCTACAAAAAAATGGCAATTTCATTTATTGAGGGAAGAAATCTAACCAAACCTCCCTAGCCTTGTGTAAAAGTAATGAATGGAAAACAAAGTCCCATCTATCACTATAAAAAAGTTACAAAGCCATTTCTAGGACTTTGGGACTCCAGAGAACCACAATGAGACCCATTATCCACAAATGGAGAGAACTTGTAATGGTGGTCCAGATATGGCTGGCCTACCAAAATCATCCGAGTCATCCAGTAGTTCACAAAGCAACCCAGAACTGCAGTCCTTATTTGTCTCACTTAAGGCTAGTTTACATGATTCAGCATCAAAAAAGAGGCTGGGCAAAAATGGCATCCATGAGTTTTAACCTCCTAGGACCTGGCGTCCACATATGTGGACATCACATTTTGGGTTATTTAGACCAAAATACTAAATTTTGCTCTACA